TGTGGAGCAACACAGAAACCAAGTGTGCATGAAAAGGGAATGGGTGGAACAATGCAGTGGCAACGGGGTGAAGACTAAAATGCTCACAGGATGGAGAGAACTGACCACCCCTGAAATAGTTTAATAGATAGTTTGGACACGTGCAGAGGAGGGATGATGGATACATTGACCAAAGGATGCTGAAAAGGAAGTTGCCAGGCAGGAAGGAAAGTAGAAGGTAGAGAAGGAGGATAAATACACAGGATTGGGGCAACAAAGTGAAGATGGAGGAGATTCTGGGAGATGGAGGCAGACAATCCATGAGTAGAAGACAACTTCATATATATGTCATACATATTATATATGTATTCGTTCTGAACTGATTTATGTGCATCACTGACAGGTTGAAAAACTCAGAGATGTCGTCATAATAATCTTTAAGGAAAAATGTGCTGCTTATCTAACCTAGATCTGTGTAAATCTGCTTTATTTTTATCCAGCAGGTCGGCGCTGGGTCTGCAAAGTCACACAGCTGTTGGCACTGTTGCTTTGCAACAAGAAGATCCTGGGTTCAAATCCTGACCTGGAGCCTTTCTGCATGGAGTTTGCATGTTCTGCCCATGTGTTGGATTTCTCTAGGTACTCTGGCTTCCTGCCACAGTCCAATAACATGACTGTTATGTCAATTTAAAAAAATATATATATCTTTGTTCTTGTGTACTTCATGCTTCTCTTTAGATCAATTCTTTTTTTGTTGTTGTTTTTAAGAGCTTATTTTTTGCTCTATTTGTTCTCTCGTTTCTAGTATTTTCATTGTTCCCCCCAGACTCCATGTGCTCTGTCTTTATTTATTATCCAACTGTCTGGAGTCTGCTTGGAAGCCAAACCTACTATTAATCCAAAAAATTTTAAAAAAAAAACTAAGACTGTTCAGAGTCACATATCTCTCAACAGTGAATTTATATCAAAGGGTTGTAAAAGTCTTCAAAGTGAGTGCAAAGTAATGCATATTCTGCATGAAGGCTTTCTTCTTTCTGAGAGCTCCTTTTCTGACCCAGAGAAGTCAGATATGTAATGACCAAAACTGTGGTCAAACTGTCATTAAATACAAAATCAGAACTTTTAAAAACATACTCTCATAGGGGGGAAAAAAAAAAGGTGAACACCGACTTTTTCCTTCTTGAGAATATTATCCTTAAATAAAGTTAGTCTCAGCGGTGCTTTTATAACAGAGGTAAAACAGCCGGAACATTTTAGTTGCACGTCATTCCAGATCCCACAAACAGAAACAAACACGACGGGCTTGCTGTTAGGAAATGACGAGGCTTGCTCAGGATTTGTCATCCTGGTAGTAAAATTCTTCTTCAACCACAGTGACGCTCTACTTACTGCACCAAGCAAAGCCAGTTGTTAAAATTGGGATTGTGACTCTCTGCTCACGCTAAAAGTTAAAACATTACAATAATATACATGTATACAGTGTCTATAATAATTATACTTAAGTCGTAAATATTTAATTTCCTGATTAAATACATACTCTGTATAGCTTTTGTTTGTTTGTTTTTTTTTAAATATAGTCTATATTGTTTGAAAAACACAAAGTGCTATCAATAAAGTTTCCAGGACATCTGCTGACAAATATTGACCAACCACTAGTGTTTTCAGTTTTGCTTTCATGAATAGAAAAATTGTTTTATATAGGTTTAGTGGCCCACAGGTATCTTCAACAGGTCAGTTGTGGACGGTTTTGTAAAAAGCTTGAACACCACTGAGTTATTGTGACCGGGCATCTCCCCCTTGTGTGCGCAACGTACACACAGGCCAAGCGTGACTAACAGTGAAGTTGGAAAGCTTTCTAAAGGACAAAGCAGACTTGTGGAGTGCAGCACCTATGGGAATTCTGACCGATTTCCTTGGCATTTTCCAGTAATGTCAAATGAAAAAGCAGACTGTTTGACGTTCTGCCTTGAAATACATCTAAAGCTGTGTCTCCATTTTTATCAAAGAAAAACACTGGAAGCTCAACTTCTGATGACTTTGTATCAGAAGCTCATCATCATCTGGGCCTTGTCAACTTGTTTAACGTGAGTAAATGTTTTGTTTTCGACTGCATCTAGATCCATTGATACCAAATTATTTTTTTTATCTTTCTTTATGTTTGGAATAAGTTACAGATTTTTTTTTCTTTTGTGGATCAGTGAACGTTGGGCAAAATAAATGCAAGAACCACCACTGTGCCCACCCAACCACAAGGTGGCTCCTGCATATATTTAGACTAAATCTTTATCCTAATCACCATCAGAAAAGAAAACAGCAGATAAAATCATAGGCTAAGGTTAAAAGGTTAACTTTCTAACTGGTTTCTTTCAACAAGTTCAGATCAGAGCACACAAACTAACCACTGATGGTTAAATCTCCAAAACTGAGAGTCAGATGGCTTTTCTTTTGCTTCGGTGTGCAAAGGATCTCCCAGGAAGAGAGTGTCAGATTCCTGGCATCCCTGGCGTTAATAAAACATCAGGAAACCAGGTGAGGTCAGAGCTGAGGTCAGACTGTTGACCTCAAGGTCACCGAGCTGAATGTTTCACTGGCAGGCGCCGTGTTTGCATTGCTCCAAGTCTGAGATTGAGAGCCGCTTCGCTCGGCCAACAATCACACAGTCCACTCGTGAATCAGCTGTTTGTATTCGTCTGGAAGAATTTCATCTTACTCATGCAAACACTGACACGCTGCCGCGTGGAATGCCTTTCCTGCCGTCAAGCCCGGCTCGGCGGCGGTGTCGGGTTGCAGTAGATGTTCCAGGGGATGCGACTCCGGCATATCTGTGTTTGTTTTAAGTCACAACCCCTCCCTCTAAGATGACAGTCCAGAACAGCCAGAGGGGGTGAAACCTGAGATAGGCAGAGCTTAGTAGTAAACAACAACTCCTTTATGAGGCAGAGGCGGCCGCCTGCTGCATTCAAAGATCTGAGGGAGAGGGACACAAAGCCGCCACCACCCACCCAAACACACACACACACACACACACACACACACACACACACACACACACACACACACACACACACACACACACACACACACACACACACACACACACACACCAGCCCTGGGGGGTGCATTCAGGGCAGTCTGTGGGTGTGGGGGAGCTGACGCTGTTAGTTTAATCTCACTGTTTGTTAAATTAAAGTCTGACTCCTCTGAGCAGACTTAAACCCTGGACTCGTTCTGTCTGAACTGAAAATAAACCAACTCGAAGGAATATCAACATTGTGTGAGGCTTTCATTTGTTAGTTTTGGGTTGGATCATAAATCTGACGCACCTCACTGAGTTTTGCCTAAAGTACAGCGCAAATGCAATCGGTCGTCCATCGTCTTTTTCCGTTTTACTTGCATCGAGTCAGATCAGCTGGTCTTAATCAGACGTTCTTCAGGCCTACTGTAGGTCTTTCGCTGTTTTAAAGGAAAGTTTTGTTTGTTAATTGACTCAATTTCTAATCTTTGAGAAATGCTGAAGGTAACACAGTTTCACAGCCAGAAACTATTAACTGGGAACTTGCTGTAAATGATCAACTGGTGGATGGTGAACGTCTCCGGTCCTGGGTTTGTTCTGTGTTGTTCTTCCTTTTCCTTCCTTAATTTCTTAAAGGCAAAGATTTCAGACACTTTACATTTTACACTTTAAAATGTGTGGTTTTGGTTAGACATGGGCAGAACTAAAAAAATGCTTAAAAATAAACAACTTATGAAATACTCTGCTTAGAGAAGTCATAGTTAGAAGGTTTTGTCCAAAGGATATAAATTCAAACTCTTTACCTCAAGTATAGCATGGCATAATGGTGACAGTATTGGGATGCCAATTTCTCTGTTGCATAGAAAATTGAAAAGAAATTTGTCAAAATTAGATTTTTTCCCCCCAGAATTAAACAAATGAAAGTGTTCAATATTTGCTTAAACGTAAGACAATTTTTAAGTCTAAGCGACATATAATTGTGAGTTAGCGAACAAATAGAATAATTTAATTTATTTCTGAAAACAAAACAAAAAATATATATAAATATATATATATATATATACATTTACAAAAAAGTTAATGTGTTTTAGAATTATTCCTAAATTTAGTCGTAAGGAGAACCTTTCAATGAAAATTGGTACGAGAACTAGTCAAAGTCCAAAGAATATTTTCGAAAGACACTAGGAAACTGAGAAACATTGATTGGTAATTTTATTGTGTTGCTCGTGTCTTTTTGCACTAATAAAACTTACTGAGTAGATGGCAGTGGCGGCGTCATGCTGAGGGATGTTTTTTTTTCTCTCTCTAGTAGTGTAAGAAACAAGAAACAAACACCTTCCTGCTGAAATTAACATTTTATTGGCCAAAATTAAAGGTCGATGTCCACAGAAACAGTTTTAACGTGACTTTCTGAAACCTTTAGGTCAAATGATCGAGACCATTCTATCAGATCACAGAAAACTTGTCAAGTTGAGGAACAAAGTAGTAATTCATTCAAGCACTGGCTATACTTTCTCCATACCTGAATCTAAACAGGCCTGACGCATGCAGTCTGTCTGCACAAATACACACAGTTTTGGACGTCGTGGTGTTATTGGTTAAAGTGCTTCTAAAAGTTTCCAAATTAACTCGTCCAAAGCTGCTGTCAGCAGCCTTCTTTGAGCTTCATCCTATCAGTTTGGTCGTCAGCCGAGCAGAACAGGCCCTGTTTTTATCTGCCTCCCTCCTCCTTTTCCTCCTCTTCCTCCTCCTCCTCCTCCAGCTCAGCTGAACAGAGTTTGGGCGCTGCACTCTTTTCTTTTGTTGTTGAACGCAGCCCTTACAGTCCGCTCCCTCCCTCCCTTCCTCTCTTTCCTTTATTTTTTTTCCACCCATCCTCCCTTCGCTCACTCACTCACTCACTCACTCCGTTTCATCCAGGGTGACGCCAGTCCCTCTCACCCCGCCCCGTTCAACTCAGTCCGCTGCGTTCATTTCATTCCTGCTCCCATTCCGCGCATATTTCGCATCCTTGGAGAGACGCTGCGCATTTTACGCACTCAGCGCGCCCCGATCCTCCGTCAAGGCGAAGCCGAGGGCGGACTCCGGAGTTGGCCGAGCGCTTCGCGGTTCCGCGGCGGCTCCGATCCGATGGGAAAGTGTGGGAATTAAAGGAGGAAAAAGCGGCGTTTGGATCGAGGTAAGTTCCCGAGGAGGAGTCCCCCCCTCCAACCCTTACCCCCCACTCCAGCTCCTCCACTTCATCCCCTCCGCCACCTCCTCCTCTTCAGCCTGCGCGTCTCAAATCCCCCGGACGTTTCGCGTGTTTCTTAAAAAAAAAAAAAAAATAAAATAAATAAATAAATAGTTTGAGCCAAATGGGAAGAAACATCTCAACATGTGGATGTTAAACAAGTCTATCCGGCTGATTATCCCTGAACCGCGTAGAGCTTCACAGCCGCTGTCGCTTCCACTCCAGTTTTATTTTCCTTTTCGATACCGAGACCCCCCCACCCCGAAAAAAACAAAAAACAAAAACCCAAAACACCTCGCTCTTTTAACACTTTCTTTTCCCCCTTTTCTCCCTCTTCTGGTGCGTTTCGCGCGGTAGAGCTGAGCCCACGGGTGTCCGTAAATGGAGCAGCGTGTTGGAGAAGAGAAGCTTTCCGCTCGCAGAGCTGGGAGGCAGCTTAACAAAGCTGGGAGTGAATGGGGGACTTGTTGCATCGGCGGGGTTTTCTCTCTCTCTCCACACAGCCAGGCAGCCAGGCAGGCAGGCAGGCAGGCAGGCAGGCCCCAGTCAGGGAACCAGGCCACAGGCTGATAACAGCTCGTGTTTACCCAGTGGACGCAGCACATCATCTGCTTCAGGAAAACACCAACATACAGGCTTTTGAAATCAGGGAGGGGAAGAAAGCCCCTCAGATTTTTTTGGACTGAAAACAGATTTCAGTTTTTTTTTTTTTTTTTTGTTCAAGCAGACACAGCTTCGCTCTGCTGTGTGACATCTGATCCGTGTTTGTGTCTTGTTTTCCTTTTCTGTCATTATCAGCGTTGGTGGAGACTTTTCTCAGGACATCCTTCTAACCCCCTTCACTCTTGTGTTTTAAATATTGATTAAAGGGCTGCTCTCAGCCCCTTTCATAGCCTGAGATCTGTGGCAGGGCAGGCCAAACCACAATGTAATTATTGGAGGAAAATTACAGCCCTTAAGGATGAAACAGGGCAGATGCACTTCTTCTGGAACAGTGAGCCGTTTGTCAGATATATATATATCTCTATATTTATATAGAAGATATATATATAGAGAAGAAGAGTTGGTGCCTGTTTGTTGATATTTTTGTTGTTGTTGTGGTGTTTAGATGAGCGTGAACTTAGTGGTAATGAGGAGGTGCAAGCTGAGAAAACAGACTGAATCCATGCATTTTGTCTGTTGGTTTTGAAATGCTGAAAAAAGTGCAGACTTATTGAACTGCAATATTTCAGTGGCAGAAATTAATCATGCAAGTTGTTTTTGTAAAAAAATAAAAAATAAAAAAATCATGATTTTCTGTCTGATACTGATTTAAAAAAATATTTGCAACGTGATCTGACAATTTTATGCTTGAAAAGTTCTGATATGCGATAGGAAAACATCAAATGGTGCACAGCACCAATCGACGCCGATTTCCAGACGTCTTTGAGGTCAGACCTGCCAATTTTGAACTGTTCCATTTTTTTCTCTTCTATGATTTAGAAAGGAGAAAAGAAAAAGTTTTCAAGCACCTCCGTAGAGATAGTAGTTTTCAACCCGACAATAATTAAGGGATCAGTGATACCAGGTCAAACACATGGAAAGTCACTTTATTTTATACTTTTGCCTTAAAATGCACAAAAGCGAAGAACTGCTGCCATTTTCTGGTCAGTAAAAGCATCATTCTGAAGCCCGGCCACTTCGTTTGAGTACAACAATAATCGGCTAAACTTCATTGACATTTGTTTTTGTTCGTGAATGAAGATAATCTTGATTCCTTCAGTTTCTGTGGGATTCAAAGCTTCTATCTTGATCAAAAAACTTGCAACATTTGATTTTTATTAAGTGAGCTGCTCCTGAAACTTTTAGAAGGAACTCTGGACCCTCAGAATGCGACCTATGTTGTAGCATGGTGGTGGTATGTCATGCTCCGTGATGCTTTCCCACCACAGCATGGAGGTTTAGAGGTAAATATTTTTGAGCTGAACTCAGAAATCCGATTGGTTTGTCAATAGAGTGTTTGTTTGCTTGATTTTAACTCTATTATGATGTGTGTATGGAAGAAAAGCCCAGGTGTAAGTTGAGAGAAGTGATTCATGTGGCAAGATATTTTTTTTATTTCAGTTAAAAATGTAGAATTGATCAGTTTTTAAACTGCAAATATTTTTGTTTTAGGAAGACAAAAATACAACTTGTTTGCAACAATAAATACTCAAATTATCCAGAGACGGACATATAACAATTTGTCTGTCAGATGCTAAATTGCAGTTTTCTGGAATCAGAGAGTTGCCTATTCTGAATCCAAATATAGTCCATTTAGGATTATTAACTAAGGATTATGAAGGAAAAAGCCTCCACTGGATTCTTTGACAGAAGTAGTATTTTTGAATCATACAGAATAGAAGTTAAAATATAATTCTGAATACAGATTTTTTTTTTTCTGTTTAAAATTAAAACTGAAATGCTTCGAGAGCGAGTATTGTGTGCATTTAGTTCAGAGACTTTTTTTCCACTTTTTTTTAATTTTATTTTTTTCAATTGAGATGCACCAATCCACCAGCCTGACATTGGAATTTGCCAGGTGATGGACAGGTCATATACAATACTTTAAAAAGAAAAAAAAAGTTTTTTTTTTGCTTGTAATTTACAAAATGCAACACCTGTAATCTCCCATAAATTCAGTTAACAAAAGCACCAACGAACAGCACGTGTCACATTTAAAAAACAAAACAAAAAAGCATCAGACAAGAGTCCAGAACATACGCTTTGATGAATAAGTAAATCATTATTATCTCCATCAAGAAACTTTTCACACATATTTCTAAATCTGTTCAAGTTCTTGACTCTTCACGGATGGTGGCATCTCTTGAAAGATCATACTCACAGGTTTAGTTTCTTTTCTTTATTTTTTTGTCAATAAATGAAAAGCTGTGACTATCCTGAAAGTGTAACAGAGAAAGCAGAGGGCGTTTGTGTGTCGGTCATTGTGTTTAAGCCTGCTTTGTCAGTCACTCTGGGCAAACAGTCTCCACTTTCCTCCCCCACAGTCCCTCTTCCCCCTCAGTGCCTCTCCTTCTCCTCTCCAGTTCGTTGACATCTGTTTTGAGAGCTCCATGCACCTGTAGAGATCGAGGAAGTGTGTGTGTGTGTGTGTGTGTTTGCGTGTGTGTGTGCGTGTGTGTGTGTGTGTGTGTGTTGAGAACAGAGACAGAGAGAGAGAGAGAGAGAGAGAGAGGGAGAGGGAGGGAGGAGCAAAATGCAAATCCGTGGATTTGTTCTGGGTCCGAGCAACGCAGACCGACTGACTAACGACCATTTGGTGTGTGTGGTGTGTGTGTGTGTGTGTGTGTGTGTGTGTGTTTGCCTCTTGCCATCCAGGCCCCTATTGTTGCAGCAACAGCAACAGGCGTCGCTGGCTGAGGACGCACCATATGTTCTCTGTGTGCTTTAGTCACCAACCGCTCACGTTTATGTGTGTGTTCATCTTTTCCACCAATGCTGCTGCAATATGGTGGAGTTTGGAGCCGACGGGCAGCTCGCAGCCTCCTTCCTCCTCCCTCCTCCTTGTTGTCTCATCTGTCGTCTCATTTCTCGGCACAAAATCCGGCACACAGATTTCATTTTTTTCTTTTGGGCCGGGATTAAGGAGGGAAATCTTCCCGGCACGAAATGAAGTCTTGTGACGTTGTGCTTTGTTTTAATTCTGATGATCTTTTAAATTTTTTAAGCAGAATGTTTTGAGGGCAGTGCGTCTAGTCAATGGGATGAATCAACAGGTGATACTCTAAATCCCGCCGGCAGCCAATTGGAGATTTTCCCTTCTTATCCTTGCTTTACCCTCTGCCCTTAAAGCGCTCCTCAGATTTTAACACCCGGCAGGACACACCAGGATAAATTTATTCGGGCGTAGCAAAAAAACTGAAAGCAGGGTGTTAAGGTGGGGCGAGAGACTGAGTTCCAGTGTAATGAAATTTAGGGAGCGGAGACGGTTTATTAGAGCAACAATGCTGAGTGTTTTTGTGTTTAGGGGTGAAGCAGTTAGGTGGGGTAAGGGAGGTTGAAGCAGGGGAGGGGGCAGGCTTTGTTCAGAGGACTGGGGGAACAATGGGCATCCTCCTGGGTGGGGTGTGGGAGTGTGTGGGGATGGGTGGAGACGGGGGTGCTGCTGGTTTCTGGCTGCAGGAAGCTAGTAGATCCAGTGCTGGCTTGTCTGACCAGCTGGATGCCCTCCTCACTTTCATTCTCATAGTAATCCTGAGCAGGTTCAGACACCGAGTTTTACAAAAGTTTTAAAGAGCTTGGGTTGAAAACTGTTCTCTCTGTTTGTTTAAGTCTTTTTAATAAACGAAGACAGAAAGTACCGGAGTGGTCACACTTTTCTGTGGTTGTATGTGTTGCCGTAGCATCTCCCCCACCTGTTGCTGCAGACTGCCAGCTGGCTGAAAGAAGGCTCCAACAAGTTTTTGAAGGGGCAATATTATGTACTGTTGTATATATCAAAAATGATTTTAAAAAAAAAGACTTTCTAGTTTGACGCCCTGAAATCTGGACTATGTGTCTTTAAGTGGCTTCTACTCTTTCAGACACCAACCTTTCAGCAAAACAATGCTTCTCTTTTTGCGTTCATTTCTGTAAACGGCAAAATTGGAGATTTTGACTGAGATGTAATTCGTAAGACAAGCTCAGCAGACTGGCAGTTCCACCAGATATCTGCTAAGTGCTGCTGACACTAGTCTGAAGGAGCTGAGTGTGTCTTCACTCGTACTGCTGATCAGTTTTCTGACATAGTTTCTCAGTCAGAAGAAGTAGTTGACTTTTTTCTAAAATTAGGTAGCTTTTGTCTTGTAACGGTTTTTAGTTGCATAGTTTTGAGAGATTAATCGTCTCTAGTGTGTTGTCCAGGGTGAGACAAAAAGGTTGCAGTGCATCAGAAAAGTGGGCTTCAATGTCTCACCTGTGGGTTGTAA